TTTCTTTTAACCTTTGGAACATGGCAGGGTTATCCCCTAGAATTACATTCTTATGCTCCCTTAATTATGTATATCTTTTCCTTAACAAACCTTAAAAAAAGATTTCAGATGTTACAAGTCTAATTAAAGAGACAGACAAAGCACAGTTTATACTGTAGATTTTTTCTGCAGTTCAATTAATCAGCATGTTTTCTCTTTTAATTAAAACCATTTTAGTAAATTAAAGCCCACAGCAAAACACATATATAATTTGTTTGTAATTAGCTCTTAATTGGTGGTAGTTGAAGCTTAGCACCCTTGGTTTCTTTCTTCATGATTGCCATTTTATTAGCAGCCAGTCATTAATTAATCTTTTTTTCTAATTAGCTTATAAAACTGTTGATGGCACATTATTGTAAATGTGATTTTAAGTTCAAAGCTTGTTAATAAGCTTTCTTACTTAGAAGAACAGAGATAAAGAAATTGCTGAAAACAGTACTACAGTTCTTTTTTTAAAACTGCCTTTGTTATAAGGGGGCTCTGTAAAGCATCTAACAGCTTATGGTTAATTTTTTAATGCTGTGTTTTCTCGTGAATGGAGGAAGTTACTTGCATTTAAATGTTTAAGTCTAGCAAAGAGCTTAATATTAGAACAGTTTCCTGTCCTTGCTCCATTACTGTGTCATCCAAATATAATGTGGTGTTGTAATACACAGCATAAAAATACAACAAAGATATTACAAAGTATTTTAAAGGGGAAGTTGAGCACATCATTGAAAGGGGACAATTTTCACTGCAAAATCCACTCGGTATTCTTGTTTGCTTTATATATTTTATATACGTCAGCAATGGATAACATTCCATAACATAAAAGGAGAAAATCATTGCTAGAGGCAAGCCTGAAATAACTAGATTCATATTTGATGAGAAACTGTAACACTATATTAAAAGGCTGTTTGGCTTCTCTGCTATGATCACAGGATATTTCAGGACCTGTTTGAATATAGATGTTGTGTTGGAGCTTTTGTAGGTTTAATATTTTGTATTTCATACCTCAGTATTTCTGGAGCAGTTCTTGATTCCGTTGTCTCGTACTTGTATCGTTCAGCATTTACATTTTACAGTTCTATCTTAAAGGCAAGTCTTTGCTTTGTGATATTTAATGTTAAATGTCCTGATTTGCAAGGAAGTTTTCTGGAAGTTACAGTAGATTCTGTTGCAACTTAATAAAAATGTTTACTCTTCTGCCTGAACTTTACATTCTATTTCAACTTCAGCCATTTCTTTGCTTGTTTTAAAAGTGTTTCATGATGCTGTGCAAGAAACACTAGAAAGGGATAGCTGACAAGGAAAAAATTAAAAATTGGATAAAAAGTAAATGAATAATGTCATATTACTAAAAAGATGAGAGGCTAATTTGTGCCGACTTTTTGCTAATTTTGTTCAAGCCTCAAAATGAGGAGCTGTCACCCGTTCTGTGTAGCACTGATGACAGTGCCAATGATCCATGAAATAAGCTGCCGCTGGCTTTGTTCTGATAAGAATGAACAAATCTGCACAATGTACGGCTCCCAGAATCTCATTTTCATACTTGCATGCAGGCTAAAAGAAATAAGCTGTTTGCAGGCTTGATTAATCAGACATTTGAGGGTTTTTTGTCTCTTTGATCTCTTTCGTCTCCTAGGTAACTTGCTTGACATTAATGTTGAGCTTGAGTAAAGACAATCAGGAATTGTAGACCAAACTGATATAAAAATTAAAGACCTTAACACTTTAAGTACTCCAGTAATGGTTCCGCTTTACTTCAGAAAACATCTGTTTTCATTTAATTAAAGAACAAAAGAGAGTGGCGTAAATATTTTTCATAGAGACCTGTTATTCCACAAAAAGTTAAAGTATGATAATTGGTATTTTTAAATAAATGCCTTGAAAGTGTTCAAAAAGAAGCAAAGCTTCAGATATTTGTTACAAGGTAACAATTTCAGATGAGTAGGAAATTTTCATTTATGCTGCATTAAACATCTAGAGTAAGATATTTGACATGATTATTGGTCAAGTTCAAAATGGAAAGGGCTTTGCCCTGTCAAAACTAAGTTGTTTTTTAAGTTTGTCTCAAAATACAAATATATATAGTGTTACAAGGATGAACCATTATATCAGCTTTACTACCCTGTAGGATTTACACACTTTAAACCTGTAAAATTGAAAGGAATTTAAAAAAAAAAAATGTCGCAGTGCGTTTGCTTGAGGTTATGCAGACGCTTTTACAAATCTTCCAAGTGGCTGTAAAGATGAATGCCTCAAGGGTCTAGCCAGGGCCCTGCTTTTCCAACCAGCTAAAGCCCTTATCTTAAATCCAAGCAAAGTACCATTAATCTTTTTGAAAGACCTTTTATGGCTTTTAATATATCCCAAATTAGAACATTTTACACCCTTGGTTCCTGAAATATGGTGATAAAAAGCCTTTAGAGCTTAATTTTCCTTACTGCGTGCTCTGACCAATTTGCAGTTCTTTGTGATAATGTTTAGACACCTTAATTAAAATGCAGCAAAATATTGGATGTTCTATATGGAAAATGCTGATACTTTGACTACACAAGAAATTGTTGTATATATTTTTATTCATGCTTTCTTACTTCTTTTAAGATTGTATTTTATTGAGTTATCTGATGACCCGAAATGTTAGTATGTTTTTTTTTATTTTTAATGTAAAATCCATTGACCAAGCTTTTATGGATTTCTTGTGGGGGGGAGCAGGGAGTGAAGATGTGTGTCTGGGTTTGGGTGGGAGCAGAAGACATTTAATTGACTAAAATGTTTCTGTGTGTTTATATGCAACATTTGTTTTCATATCTTGAAAATTTGACTATGTAGCCTAGAAATTATAACAATGCTGCAAAATGTTTCTGCATTTACTTCCACATACACTGCAGAGGCTCTTATTATCTCATTTTTTCTGTACTTTTCAAAGATGGAAGAACTCATTATGTCTTCCAGAAAATGCAGATAAAAAGATTTTTCTGCAGCACTTGTTTAGAGCTCCCTTGTGTATATTTGTATGTGTATAAGTGCTCAGTAGGCCACTAGAATATATTTTAAGGAGATTCTGTTATTCATCACACAGTAAAAGTTAATTTTCAAGTGTGTTAGGAGGTAAAATACCTCTAATAAAGGCATGGTTCTGCTGACTGACTTCAGCCATCAGATTGCTCTATTGTTTAAACTAATAATTACTCCTGTTTCAATTTAAAAGTAAACATTTTTTGAATATTTTAGGTGAGTTTTCTTAAGCATTTTTATACTGCAGTTATATTAAGGTTAATAGCTGTCCTTAAATATTAAGTGACAATGCAAATAAAAGATTGTTATGTTTCAGTCTTTGACCTGAAATTTAGCAGTTCAGATGTTGGCATTGAATTACTGTTAATAAAAACCATTAATGCTCAGGGGAAAATTACATAGATAATATAAAAGTTTTGAAGTAGCTGATCACAATATTTTGTGCATGATGATGATTCCAAAGGTGCATATTTAGGATCTTATAACACATGCAAATACTGGGTGAGACACTTGTTCAGTTTTTCCATTTTAAATATTATGTTTATGAAAATAACTATTTTCCTTTCAAACTGTTATGCTCAGCTCCTGTCTGCTTGTGTTGGCAGCATTTAGAGCCTCAAACAAAGCACAGTCTGAGTTGTGCTTGCTGCCTTTCCTTAAAGGCTCCTTTCTTCATTCTTGAACCCTGAGAGGACCATAAGGTAGAAGAGCTTGTTGTGATGCTGGTTTGGGTTTGGTTTTTTTTTTTTTTTTTGCTTTGTTAACAAAATGATCACCTACCTATTGTGTGTTTGATGGGGTAGTTGTGGAAAATGTGTCAGTGCATCTTCACCTGCAGATGTGTTCTAGAGTTCCCTCTCATCTTACCTGGGTAAAGCATTTCTCAGGGTAAATATTTGTCTGCATAGATGCTGCAGATTATCCAAGTATATTACCATTAATAGTGGAACTTCCAAGGTGTTAAAGAGTATTCTTCCCCTTGGGTCTCCCATTCTTTGATGCCCCCATGGCATTTTGGGGGACATTTAGAATATCCAGTTTGCTGGATATAACTGTTTGCAAATTTCAGGAGGTTTGGGTGTGGATTGAAGGAAAACCTGTTTGCCCACATCAGTTTGTAGCAATTTGGGGTAAATGAATTGCGTGCTTGTCTTGGAGAATAGCAGTAACTTCTGAGAACGAATTCCTTCCTAACTGATGTCAAGTCAAGGCAGCAACCCCAAAATTTACCTACAAGTTGTGAATGTTGATTAAGGGAAATAAACTGGTCATAGTTCACTGTATCTTCTTCTATATTTTTTTACTTTTCCCTGCCTTTCCCTCCTGTGCTTGACATTCACTAAAGTGAACTTAATTCTCACAGTCTGCATCAGTTTATGGGCGTAGTATTCACCTACATGGAAAGCTGGCATATCACACCCTTGCAGTCTAAAAGCTTGTAATGTGGAGATAGACACTAAGGACACTGCATCATGTATTTTTGGAGAGACTGATTAAAACCTGTCTAGTGGTACTAGTGAAAAATGTGAAATGGTAGCAGCTCTTCCTGTATCAAAATGTCTTTTTGGGTGTTTTTGACACTTGTAAGAACCAATTCTGTTGCGTTGGCATAGCTGAGCAAGACTGGTCCTGATAATGGAGACTGTGTATTTGGATATGTCTGTCTGTATAAAACAAACAAACAAAAGGATCCAGTGAGCTGTTGCCTTTGGGTTTTGGTTTTGAAAATGAGGGATTTGGTGAAAAGGACTGCTTGCCCCAGGATCCTACACCTTTGTGTTCCACTCAAGAGACATTCTTGTTTGTCCAGTCTTACAGTGCATCATCAGCCTAATATTTGAAATGTTTTAGTATCTGTTGATTTTGAGAAACAATATCAGACCAAGTAATTTGGGAGGCTTAAATTTCATATGAGCCATTTGCATCTAATCAGTTTTCCTTTGTTCCTTTTCATGTCTTAGCTTGGTGTGAAAATTGCCAAAGCTGCCGCTTGCCGCAACTTTGTAAAAGCCAAGCAAGAAGCAGAGGCTGCCCAAGAAGCTCAAAAGAGAAAGAAGCTTGCTTGGGGGTAAGTCATTTGAGTATGGAATTAAACATTTGTGGTTTCATTGGCACTAAGTGTGTACAATACAATCTCAGTTAAATGTGTTTTTTTAGTTGAAATAGGCTTGTGCTAATCTAATTTGTTTAGTTTAACCTTGTTGGGTTTTGCTGGGCTTTTTTAGGAGTGTATCACACTTAAGTACAGAGGCTTTATCAAAAATAAAGTGGTGGTTGTGTGGCTGTATTTGTCTTCATGTCTTTATTACAGTATTAAAAGTAAGTTATTTTTGTTGTTGTTAAGAATAACATGCTTAAATACCTAAAGCACATACTCTCATCATTCTTAATGTGGGTTTTGTTCTCTGTTTCAGATTTGAAGCCAAGAAAAGATGGGAAACAAAAAGCAACATGGGATACATGTAGTCCATCCTGTTTTCCTCAGCAGTTGAATACCTGTTGTTACTTGAAGAATTTTTGTGGGCACCTTATTAAATCTAAACATAAAACCCCCCAAAACACAACACATCAAATGCCTAGTATTTATCTTAATGTTTTTAAACTGCACTGTCTTGTTTTGTCACTCTCTTACAAATAATACAGCAAAAATACTTTCTAAATATCAATACTGTGTTAATAATCCTCCTAGATACGAAACCTAAAGATAACACATTTCAGGATGAATTTGGAGTCTGGCAGAGAATTCTCTGAAGTTGAAATAAAATCCTTGGTCCAAATGTGTTTTGTGCTGTACTGCAATTACAATGTGTGGGTGTGAGGAGAGGGGTATGTTTGCTTCTGGGGCTACACAGACTAAATGCAGTAAGTACTTCTTTTCTACTTGTAAGGTGGGGAAAGACACTAAATAAAGAGCAAACCCAACCTGTCTTTTTTAAACCAAGGGCATTTATAACCTTAGTAAATATAAATATGTTAAAAAAAAACAGGAAGAAGTCCATCCTCCCTCTCCTGGAAGGATCTGGTACTATTGGTCATATCCTGGTGCCATGTTCTTCATAGTATTTCAGATTCCCAGTTTTCTTTCCTTCCTAAGAACACAAGTTTTAAAAGTCCCAGATAAAAATATATTAATACATATCTTGGAAAAATATCTGAACTGTTACATTGCACAGTTAACTGCACCCAAGATACAAATGCAGATTTTACTCCAAGTCAAATGTTTTACAGATCAATTAGGATTTGAATGTTTATGTTATAAGATTATAACAAGAATTGATGATAATGTATCTTCAAAATTGTTCTCAGTGAAAAGTAAGTACACATTCAAAACTAATAACTTTTCTCCCTGAAGCTCTTGCATATATGTTTAGTCACCACAATGCCTGAATTGAATTGGTAATGTAAATGTCAGTTATTGTTAACCAAGATTAATATGTTTCAGGCCAAAGGTATGGTATTAGTGTAATGGTGATTTACTGTGGAAGTACTTGGGGCTAAAACAACTTGCCAACAAATAGCAATTTGAAGTTTTACAGCAGCAATTCGAAGAGTTCAGGTTTGCAGTCCAAGATGGAATAGTGCATTTTTGTTCATTAGCCCTCGGGATATTTGATTCTTTTTTTTAACATCATATTTCTTTCACACAGATGAGAGTTTGCAATATGGTAATCTGCAGTTAGCTGTAATTAGTTATGATGACAGAGTTGAATACAATTGCCAGGATTGTAAATTGGGGGCTAAGCAGGTTTCTGCAGTATAACGTCATAAATCTCACACTATGGTTTGCAAACTTTTGTGTGGAAGGAAGCAAGTGCTATCTCTAGTGAAGTGGTTGTAAAGGTAAGTTTCATGTTTGCGTGTGAAAACACACAGGTTACACCATGACCTTCATCAGGATCTTCCTCAGTTCCAAATGTTCCCATCTAGAAGTTACAGGCAATCTGTCCATGATTTCTGGGGGCTTTTTTTAAGCATCTGGAAGATGGGTGTTAGATTCAGTTGGCCTTTATTATATACTGAAAAGTAGAATGATGCTGACAATTAATGGCAAACACACCAGCAGCATTCCATTAAACTTTTTAAAGTATCATTTATTAAATAAGTGTTTTCTTTTTTGCAGTAATTGCTCTTAAGAGTAACGGGATCAAATCTAGATCTTGATCTAATTGCAAGGATCAGTGTTACTTGTTTTGAAAATGTGCTTTAACAGAAACCCAAGCCCTCAAGAAAGAGCTCTTGCCCAGCTACCTGTAATATTTTAGACTAAACCAATTAATTTTATGTTAGGCCATTAACAATGGAAATGTTTAGGAAGTGTGCAGAATATTTGCTTTGGGTCACTTGTGTGATGAATTTAAAAATGACCACATTTCAAACCTCTTTATCCACCTAACAGGTTTCCTTAAAATACTCATGGGTTTCAAAAATCTCTTAACAGGGAAAATACAAAAGCCTAATACAGCTTTATAGAGTTCACATAAATACATAAGAAATAAATGAATGCAGAACTGTATCTTTAATAATCATCATCCTAAACTGATGCTCTGTTTTTAGTCATGCATTGTGCTGACACCTTTTTTTTAAGTTGTTCTGGTCTGTGATGTAAATTTTGGCCAAGCTAGTAAAAGTGCATTCTGCTACTAAATGTTTCATGTTTAATAGAGTTAAACCAATCCAAATGCTTGTTTTAGTTAACTGAAAGCTTTATAATCAGCTTAAATATACAAGCTCTTACACTGATCTAATTTTGAGACATAATAATTATTCTTTTAGCAGATGAAAAGTTTGCAATATCTCTTTGGCTGAAATTACGGATCTAGAGGAATGTACTTAAATTATAAATATCAGTACAAATCTGTTGTGACGCCAAATATTTATTAGAAGTTCATTTGATGCTATCTTGAACTGGGCAACAGTTCAAAAGCAGCCCTGCCAAAGTGCTTCCTCCCTGTCAGAAGTCCTGAAAACATAAATGCATGCACTGGTTTTATCCCAGTTTTTTTCTCCACCAATTTCAATCCAATCCAACATCAGTCATGGTATTCTCTTGAATATCCTGAGTATCCTTTTGAGGAAAAATTGGCTCTCTAGAGTAAACCAAGAAACTACCTGGAAAGTAGAATGTGCTCTCACAATTTCTGTGTGAGAAATTGTTGTTTGAGCAAGGCTGTTTCTAGAGCATCCTGGCCTGCTCCAGCCTCGCTCTGTTGTTGGCCAGGCTTTGTCAGTCTGGCCTCTGATCTGGGCTTGTCACTCAGGTGCTGTGCCAGGGTGAGGGGTTTGCTTTGGGGTTTTCAGCAGCCCCAACCATGTCAGGTTGAGTGGCTCTGCACCATTTCACTGAGTGTTGATGCTCCTTGAACACTTTCTCACTCGGCTGCCATGTCTTCATTTCTGCTCCCATCTCATATTCTGGCAATTCTCTTGTGTTTTAAGGCCTACATGAGAAATACTTTTATCAGCTCCTGTGATAAAAAAATCCAGTTTGAAGTCTGACAACAGCATACTAATACAATTACTTGTATTTCTTAATACTGCATTCCTGAGCTCCTTAACCAAAGAGTGGCTGCAGGGACAGTTTGACAGATAAAAACATATATATAGTTGTTAGAGTTTTAATAGTTTTTTGCCTGCAACCATAATCTGTATCATTATTTTTTTTAGTTTAATTCTGTTGGACAAGTTTCAAAGATAAATGTGGTGTGTAATAAGTCTTTGCAGCCTCTAATTTGTGAAGGAGTGTCTGTCCAGTTAATACTTGCTCATTGAAGCAAGGGGTTTTGAAATAGCTGAAGTACGAACTGTAATTACTGATGTCTGTTTCCTATTCACCTATGGCTTCTGGCATTTGATCAAAAACTGTAATGTATTGCTTAATCTCAAAGCATTCCCCACTTTCAAAAATATTTACCTCATGAGAATTGCACAGCACTAAATGACCTTAGCAAAACCAGAGTAGATTTTTATTTGGCATTGATCATATGTAGCTAATCCACCAACAAGTATTTTTCCTGTTATTTTTGAGCGTTGGTAATTTAGGTACAGATGTGTCTGTAGTGTACCTTTAGTGCAAGCTCAAAGCATCTTAAAAATATTAAGTATATTAATAATAGGGTGGGATTTTTACTTCACAAATGGGGTGGCTAAAAAGAGGAGTACAAAGGTTGAGCAATTTATGTGAGGGGAAAACTCCTGGCTGGCAGCAAAGTGGCGAGTGAAGGAATCTCCTGGTTTGCTGTTTTGTCAAAGCTGAGAATAACAGAGAGAAATCAGTCTTGAACAATTTTGTGGCAGGTGCCTAATCCTCTTTGAAAGTCATTGGGAATTGGGCACCTCATTACCATCTCTCCCACCGAGAGAGTAAAAGAACTGCGATATTGAATGCAGATGTTCTGAGCATCACAAGAGTGGGTAAAAGCCCGAATTTCATTTGAGAAAAGTTGTCATTTTTCACGTTGAAAAATGCCTGCATTGCTTTGATCTGTCTCCAGCTGTGTTTATTTTACCATCAAATCTTGTCTTCCCAGTTTCTGTGGGATTGTAACAGAGTTGAGAGGTTTCTATTTCTTTACTTGTAATTGGACCTGGAATAAAACATTTTGCCCTAAAAAAAGCATGGGAGCTAAACAGACACTAAGAAATTAAAACAGCCAGCTTTATAAAAGGAGTTCTACCTATTTTACATGTGAGTGTGCTTGCCATGCTTGTTCTCTGATACTGAACCATCATTGTGACTTTAATAGTATGTTCTTTTCTCTTGAGTTTCCCAGGTGTGCTGGCTGCCTGACTCACAGATGGACGTGACTTCAGGCTGGCATGAGGAGACCACAGATTGAAATGAACATTTATGTTTCCATGTTACGTGTCCTAATGAGTCAGCCTTTGGCAGCTTTTGCTGTAACTGAGGAAAATAGATACAAGAAAAGATAGATACACAAGTAAGAGTTTTACCCAAATGAGAACTGACTGCTTTCTGGTAGCCAGAGAGGGAATTCTGTTCATCCTTTTTTTACAACCTCTCTGAAATGAACAATATATTCAGGTAGCCCAAACAGCAAATTCAGATATCAAGCAAAGTGTAATGCTGCCTGTGGACTCTCTTAGCTGGATAGTGTTTATGGTATTTTAAGGATTTCTCTGTGGAGAAGTGGTTGCTGACCTTGTCAGATCTTTAATCCTGAAATGCTAGTTGGCCTCTACCGATACAGGCCAGTATTAATTCCAAACTAGTAGTGCCCTGAATTTACCAGTACTGCTCAAAGAGAAAGAAAAAGGATTTGCACCTTGGATTACTCAGATTCTGTCCAATCATCTGCACCCTTGATCAAAAATCATTGCATTCTTTTGTGAATTGAAAAGATTCCCAGCATAACCGAGGATCACTGAGATTGTCTTAACATTGATTCCTCTTCTGAGGAACTTATAAAAATACATTTTCCACAATTATATTTGAAGTATGTCACCAGCTCCTCAAAGTATACTCAGTAATAGCACAGGATTGTGAGAAAGCCCTGAGTAAAACCAGGTGTAATGTGCTGGTATAAAGTGTAAACATGCAAAGAACATCAGAAAGGTGATGTATCGTGTGATTCAGCTCCTAATTACCATCAAACAATGGAGGATGGAGCTTTTAGATTTTGCAAGTTAATGAAGAGAATGTTGAGAGCAGCCTGCTAGCAAGAGCTGTCCTCCCAGTTACCTGCTGGAGGAGTGCACAAGCTGCAAAGGGGGAGAGTCAGCCAAATGGGCATTTCCAATTTGAATACTTCCTCTTTTTGGAA